ATCTCTTTAGCACGTCTACAGGATGCAGAATGAACGCCAATGCGGTACACACCGATCTTTAGCGAACAGCTATTTGTGTGAGTTCGTTTGGAGGCAAAGATTTTGAAAAACGGACCTTTTCATGCAAATTATTAATGGCATGTCCCTATTTCACCCTCTTCAATAAGGGTTAAGAGTACATATTTCATATCTTCTTTTTTCAAAGCTTTTTCGAGTGGCGGGAGTTAATTTTTGGCGGGGCTTGTCTGGAAAAGATTCATCAAAAGTACCATATGCCTATGCTTATGTTTATTTTGACTATTTTAAAGAGTTTTTTGTTGCTGACTAGACGTAACCTACTACTCATAAGGATGCTGAAAACCCTTGGACTTTATGAGTAGTAGGTTACCTCTACATACATTGCGCAATACGCCGGTAATGAAAATTCGTTCCGAGCTTACGGCTGCCATTTGGGTGATACCTATAGGTAAGTGCATTCCTGTATGCTTCCCTCTTGTTTTTGAATTACACTGCATATTTGAAACCGGTGTTCGGGAGCACAAAGCCTCTGGTTGGTTGAGACTGATATGCCCGTGAACTGTGACAGGTCATCATATCCAACACACATCAATGAGATTCATGTGACCTCATTCAGCGTCAAAACCTAGGACTTATTCGATCTACTGTTTAGTCATATGTACGGGCATAAGTTCTTCCGTTATCCGATGAAACACGTGGGTGAATTCTTCGTCTCAAGGCGGTGTGACAAGATGTTCCTTGTCTTGATGTTATTGGCTCAGAACCCACCGAGGATACGTGTTACAGTTTGAAAACTGTCAAACTGCTAGAGTGGTGATTTCAATCTGTTCTGAACACGTCCAACTGAATGCAACCTTGTGGCGGTTGTGACTTGCTAACATGAATGCAACAAACAGAGGGACAGACATGAGAACCACACATGAACACTAATCAAGCTTGTGATTGGCAGCCTACACGTGCTCCTGTGGGAATATAACAATCAGTCGATTTAAGTCTCAGACTGTCTTACATGAACCTTTCAGTGTGTCTGTGTGAGTTGCGAGATGAGGTGTTGGCACACCCGCAAAGCTACGGGGCGCACATCCGTTGGAAACCAAAGCGTATCTTTGCGCCTCCATGGCGCATAGTCATGAATACCATCTTCGAAGTCCAACCTGGTTGAAAAAAGGTATTTCACTGACACCGGCTTTTTTGACATTTCCTCCAAGAAGACCAGGTCATACGCAGTACTTCTAAACGCCAGTGACTTCTTGGGGGCCCAAGAGTAACCCGGAATGAAATCCATGGTTTAGTTCTGAATTGCCCAACAAAGAATTTGCGTGCTTGGTTTGTCAAACCGACATCTAGGAAACTAACGACAGCCTACTGTTAATGAATGTGGGGTCACGTGGGTACGTGGGTCACGTGGGTACCTATGAAAAAAGACAATGCATTGCCACTGTGGGCTAGTATATGCAGTCAAATTGATCTAAACATGACTACAACTTCTGTGGAAGTTTGCTGGTCTGGAATACCCGAGATCATCCAGTCGTGCTTTCGTTGAGACCAACCTACTGGATTTTTAACACATCCACAGGTGGTAACACTTTCACGGCCATTTGGAGAACACAACTGAGCGATGGCCAAGTCACATGTCCTACCAGATGGTGAGAATAGTAAGCGAATGGCTCAAAATAACTGCTGGGCTAACGATGGATACTACTGATGAACCAAGCGAGTAGTCTATGATTAGTGGCCAAGCTCCAATCCCCCTCGGGAATTGTAAAACTGCCTTGTGACCTTCGTTTACTATTGTGTAATAGTCAATGAATCTCCAAGATATTTCACGAGGACGCGTGGCTATGTGCATATGAGCTGTTTACCGTCTTGTCTAATGACTTGTAACTAGTAACAAGGGACCTCGCAGCGAAGAGCTTTCCCCTCACTGGTAGCTGAACTGGTGGTTTTCAAAAATAAATGACTCTGGATCAAGGGAGTAATGCAGATTTTCACGGGGTTCCACCAGATTTACGAGGTTTTTTCGGAAGACAGTCTGGATGGTTCTGCATGTTTAATTCGGATAGATGTCCTGGCAGAGAACAGCCTCGTGAAACGTACTCACGGGCAGTTCTGTTCATATATCTCCAACGGGATATATTCAGACAGTTGGATGATGGCCGTAGGTTTTTCTGGTCACACTGCTCCAAGTAGACGATACATCGAAAACTGATGTGCTGATAGCTAGCAGCTCTGGAAGCTCAAATTTGCAGGTGAGATAGGGATGATGGGCTGAGGTTCATTATCTGGCGTCGTGCAGAAACCAACATGAGTAGTGCGGACATCAAGCGTGACGCCATCCACGCCTGACAGTTCTTAATACAGCAGACACAGTAAAAAAATTCATATTGTGTCACCGGAACCTCTCCCCAGGCTTGCAGTTTGCAGCACAGAATTTACCTATTGTCCTCTATCTAGCTTTTTCAGTCAGAACCATACTCCGACTGGTGTGTCTGAAAACGCTGCCTCCCAAAGCAGCCAAACTGTACGTGCCCCCTTTCGGACCATGGCAAATCATGAATGTCTCAAAATGATCTAACTCACATCGGTGAACGGTGTAGATCACTACAATCTCACTCTCAGCAAACCTTGTCAAAGGCATCAGTATGACAAGAGTCCTGGCGTCCTTTTTACACAGGCTTTAGCTATCAAACGAGATCGTTTATATGGCGCCTAGATTTGGAACCGCAAAGCAATCCACAGTCACCCATTTTTTAGATGCTTCTCCTCGACGGGCCGATGTCCTCAGAGGAGAAATGCGATAATTTTCTCCGCGCATTGTCGGTTCCAGCGTATCGATCGCTCTCATCCATGGTTTGATCGGCTTGGTTCGGTCAGGCATTGTGGTTATTCCTTCCTGTGTCTCTTTAAGTGGTTGTGATCTATTTGGCAGTTTGCTACTGTTCTAAGATGGAGCAGCAAGCAAACCGATACAGTCCGACCTGATGAAACGCAACTGGTCAGAGGAAGCTAGTTAGATGAGGGTGCCTTCGGACAACACGATGAAAAGTTCATCCTGAATATCGTTATTCGTCTGAGTAGGGCACACACCGATCACGGATAGACGCACGATTGTGTTATGGTACCTATGCCCAAATACATTGCTGTCAAGCGTAGGCAAAGCCAATCAGGTAGAGACAACCTTCCCCACAAAACACACGCGTGCGACTCCACACGATTGGGAAACCAACCAATCACGTGGAAGGAACACAAACGGCAGCCAGGGCGAAGTTGTCCAATCACGAATAAGTATCACACGCACCAGCTGACTGATCGATCCATGGAATAACTCAAGACGTGAAATGTGTCAACTGTGTTTGGGATAGTACACCAGAGTCAGTGGACAGTGGGCCCAAGAGAAGTTACTCTATTAAGTTCTCAATGAATCATATAAAGTAGATTACCTTAGAGACTTTCGAGCTACTGATTTCCAGTCATTTTGGCGCACATCCAATGATAAATCCATGTCATATGCTAGCTTCAGTAGGTGCCTGAAATAGTCTTTTGAAAATTCCCGGCCTTCAACAGATAATCTATGCTGAGTGTTGTTCATAAATCGATTTATTCATCTACATTATATTCAATATGAAGCATGATATTCATATGAACAAAGTACACTCATCATCCGAAACATCGGTGTATAATTTGATCGGCTGACCTTATAACAGTACGTTACAAATTCCATCTTACAAGCCAGTGATTCATAGCTGTCAAGTTGGACTATCCTGTTTTGTGTTCGAAGTCCTCTGCTTTCTTCCGCAGAAGTGTACCGGAGAGATTGAGACGCTCCTGACTTGGGCACGGGGAATTCGTTCGTAGTTCTACGTAGTTAGATCACAGTGTTTGCTGTGATGAGTTGCGACAACTTCTGCATTTTGCCAAGCTCGGCTTTTTCGAAGATGCAAGATTGCATTCCCTTAGGTGATACATTAGGAATTTTATGATTAGTGATGCGTACGTGCTTTGCAGTCTCCCCCAACTAATTTTCATTAAATTAGCCCCTAGCATCGTCCCTCGCATTTCTTCGCGCGCTTTGTGACTGGCTGCGTTGAAAACGGCGTTAGCTCCTGTTATCCATACGGCTATGGTGTTCTACCCTAAAGACTGGTTTTTTATCGCACCTTGGTAAAACTTGCCAGGATCGAGAAACGGTTAGGCCTGGGGCATCAAACAGACGTATCCACGCCCAGACAAATCAACTTAATAACCTTCGGAACACAACCTTTTAAGTTATTCCTGCCGTGTGAACAAACATGCTCACGTAAAATCGGGAATCGTATTTTAACACGCTCTGATCTGCCCAATTCGAGACGGCATGGGACATCGCGGAGGATAATTAGGATGATCAGGGTTCATTGAATGCCCTTCCCCCTCACACCCAGTTGTCAAACTACAGCCTACCTGCCATGCCACCAGAAGGAAGGCTGAGATACTACCAGGCTGCCCAATCCTAGACAAGGAAAGTCGAGAGGCAGAGGTCGAGTTCAAACCATGGACCTTCCTGTAAGTAAACTGACGCTCTAGCCACTGAGCCATCTCGCCCCCCCCCCACACACAAAAAAAAATCACAGCGGTTTATAGCCTGAGCTCATTCACTTACGAACTGGTGAATCGGATCGAATAACGAAGAAAATTGGCTTCAAACAACTGTGTCAAGTACTCCTTGTTAGCGTTTTGTCTGGAATTTTTATGCGGATTTTCTTGGTGAACTCAATCACAGTTTCAAAATGTACATAAACCAAAATTTTGTGTTTGGAAGGGCCACCATGCCGGTTCGTTTTACAGTGTCTAGGGCTATCAGGACTCACGTCACTTCTTGTGACTTCTCGGTCTTCACAACCGATGGTGAAGTCGAATTTCGAGACTAGTCAAAATCAGTGTGTTGGCAGACAGCTACACTTAATGTGGAGGTTTCCAGCATGCTTGAGGCTACCTGATCAGGAAACCGTGAGGGGCAGGTGGGGGAAAGAATCAAACAGAACAATTACTTGACGGCCGTTAGAACTGCTCAAGCGTAAACGAATCGTCCATTGGGATAGGATCAGTCATGTTCGCCGAACTGCACCGGTGAAATGGTGGTTAAATGCCTGTTCCACATGTCACAGGAGTTCCACGCACCCTCAAGGATATGCAATGAAGGTGCACCTCAACTCCAGCGTTTCACACCCCTAGTACGGATCAATCAGAATTATCGCGCCAGCAAAAGAGAGGAATTACTGAAACAAGAGGGTTGAACATGATTCTGATAGGAGCAAGTACCACTGTAACAGTGATGCTACTGATGAGAAGCACGCGAGTAGTATGTTTTCTCGTAAATCCGCTTTGCGTCTCTTGAAAAGTGAGATCTATTACGAAATTTGCGGAGTCTCTCTGTAGCATTTGCTTGCAATTGAGTATTTGTCAATGAATACCCAGGAGCGTTCAGGAAGACGCGTTCAAGGAGAAGATGGATATTCAGTTTTTGTAAACAAGATGCATATGAGAGTTTTGCTCCCTTGTCCAATAGTCTGTAACTGTTGATTTGGCATTTTCTAACAACTCTGAACCGAAGGTCTACTCACCTGTTTGTTTAACGAACCGCATTCTGACGAACAGCGCAGGGGATGACAGATACGGTCTGTTTCACCAATAACAGAGAGCCATACAGTGTGGATAACCACCGATGGGACGGAGCCTGTTAGATATGGTCCCCATCTTCCACCCAGTCAACATATTGTTGAGAAATCTCCTGTGTGATCTGTGAGAAGTAACTGACTAGTCTCTCCAGGAACGAGTGTCTTTTCTGAAGAAGCACCTATCTAGTTGTTTATGCCACAAAAATCGGCCTTTATGGAGTGACACTGGGGATGATCTTATAAAATAAAACAGTTGGTCAGGAACTCACAGCTTGGCGGGTGCTCCAGCTTGGCTGGAAGGCAAGTCATACGTAGTGAGTTGGAATTCACAAACATCAGCTAGACCTTTCCAGGCTTTGTAAGCAGACCTAAAACAGAGATGAATTCAGACAACCACATTTTTCAAAAATGACCGCACGGTTGTTTGCGGACGAGTACGCATCAATTTAGATTTCATTTGATTTACTGTACTTTCTCACGTTTGAAACAAAGTCCAATGGAGTCCGGAGTTCAGTAAACGAGTGAAATTCTATCCTTTTTTGCGGAGCTAACTTGTATCTACCACGCGAAAAGACAACGGTAAGCTAGAATGTTGGTATATCACATTTGTGTGGTGGCGACGCTCTGTGTCAATGACTCTCTCGAAAATCAACCGATCACCCATCACGTGATGTGATGCTGTTAGGGCTACACTAGGGACAACAGCTACCCACCCAATCAACAATCACCTGACGTACAAAAGTGACCATTAATCCGAAACATTGCGACCCTTAACTTTGTGCTCCCTTTCAGATAAGAAAAGGCAAGCAATTATTCCACAAATCTTCCTCCTGTGACCTCTGTAAACTCTGGACCTGGCGTCAAAGAGTATCGCCCCATTTTCATACGGCAAAGCACATTTTCGTAAGGTACGTTGATGAAGCGTCTGAATAGAGTTGACATATCCTGAGAGTCGTGCCGAGCTCCTGGGTTCATGTGGCTCTTGGGATACCCCAAACTCACACGGAGGTTCCTAGGAAAAAACTGTCTGAAGATTCTAGTTGGTCGGCTTATCGAATTTTCCCAAATAACTTGTGCAAAATTTCGGGAAGTCTTGAGATGACACTCGTGGGATAACAGATTGCAAATCAAAACCCAGTTTTTCCAAAGAATCATTCCAGCCTTGACACCGCTTCTCTGCTTGGGGTCTATTTCCTGCAAAACACATTTTGGTCTTGAGGATGAAATCAGAGTTTTTTGAGTCGTTTCACTGCCAGAGAAAACTCAAACTTTGTTTCGTGAGCACTTACTCTGAACTGGTTCTCCTACTTTGTCTGCAAATGTGCAATACAACAGTGCTACTTTGACAAGTGGCAACTTAGCGTCTGGTATCAAAAAGCGCTTGTACCTAGAAAAGTATGAGATTAACAAACACGGAACCGAAATGTCTCATCATCATCATCAACATCATCACCATCATCATCGACAGCATAACATCAGTGTTCAACACTGATGCTTCACTGCTGTACGACCATGATTTATGTGAAAGCCTTGTTGTGAAGAACAGAGGAGAGGGACTTAGTGCTAGCTTAACACAATCATTCCGAGGTTCCTACAACTCCAGACATCCACTCAG